GACTCCAACAACAGTCGTCTTCAGCAGTCAGCAGCAATTTAGGAGGAGGCCCAGCTCCAATGGACATAGGAGCAACATACAAAGGCAAAGGAAAAGGAAAAGGAAAGAACAAAAGAAAAGGATTCAACAAAGGAGGTCACAAAGGAAAAGGATACCAACAAGGAAAGGGCTACGGCGGCTACGGCAGTTACAACAAAGGAAAAGGCAAAGGAAAGCAACAGCAATGGTATCAGCCAAAAGGAGTAGAGAAAGGCAACAAAGGAAAGTCGAAAGGAATTCCCAACAAAGGAAAAGGGAAGAATCCAACAACAATATGCTACAGATGTGGTCAACAGGGCCACTTGGCAAAGGATTGCCGAACAGCGGTGTACAACATAGCAGAGACACCACAGGAACAGAACCAGGGTGGAACATCCCAATGGTATGACCCAAACAGTGGGTATGACAACTACTGGTACAGCAACGACCAGTCAGGCAACTACAACATTCAGCCAGCCCAACAACAACAACAACAGCTAGCTTGGTCAGCACCATCAACAAACACTCAAACACCAACAATTCAACAATTCAACTTGTGGGAGCACTGGGCCATCAGGCAGCGAGTGCCCACAATGAAGCAACCACAACAGCTCAAGCAGTGCAACAGCAGAGAGGAGACGTCGAAGTGGACATCATGATTGACAGTGGTTCAGCAACACATGTGTGCCCACCATGGTTTGCACCAGACACACCACTGTATCCACTGCAACATGGACAAGGACCTAGACTCAGAACAGCAACAGATGAAGTCATCTACGTGCACGGCTACAAATGGGTGTACATGCACAACACCAACAAGCAGACACTAGTTGTTCCCTTCTACGTGTGTGATGTGACGCAACCCATCATGTCAGTAACAAGACTGGCAGAGCAAGGGTTCAACACACAACTCAACGAGACATCAACAATCACACACACCAAGGGATTCAACTCAGCACTGAAGCAACGAGAAGGCCTTTACTTCTTGCCGGTTGTATTGGTAACACTGCCAATCAACATGAGGCTTGAAGTCAACCAGACAGCAGAAGGAACAACAGCAAGAATAGCACCAGTCACACTGACACCAACAGGCACGGAAGTCCTTCGCAACAAGAATGACCTATGGACATTCAACAGCCGAGGTTTCTTGGTAAGAGTCCACAGGACAACACGCAAGGCATTGTTCATGCCAGACAGCAGATGTCCAGTTCCAACAGAAAGGTTGGAGAACTACAGAAGAACAATCATACAAAGACCAAACAACAACACAGAGGTCGTCGAAGAAGCATACCAAGACCTCGACAAGAAGCAACAAAAGAGGATTATACAAGGAAACAACTGGACAGGAGAAACATGGTTCAAAGTGAAGCGTGGAACAACACTTCCAGGCAACATACCACCACAACCAGCACTTCCACCAGCCAATGGGCCAACACCAGCAACATCTCAACAATCCACAGCTGACCAACCACAAGCACCAATGTATCGACACAACGTGAAGAAGCTTCTCACAGAGGTAAGGCCAACAGGTCAAGCAATGACCACAACAAAGCCACACCAGACAGCAGTCCCACATCCAATGGAAGTCAGTCCAACACAGGACTATTGGATCAAAGAAGGTCCATATTGGAAACGTGCGCATGTCCAACCAAGAAGGGACATGTACATTCCACAACAAACGGATGATGGACCAGATGTGACAAGACTTACAACATGGAGACAAACAATGGTGAAGCCAACAAGTGGCAACAGAGGATATAGAATCGATGACGATTGGACAACAAAGAGGAAAGCAACACTCGACATAGAGTGGACAGGTTCAACAAACTTTGAGGAGAACACAGCATACAAAGGTGAGTTCATCACAGATGAGCCAGAGGAGCAACAAGAAGCCAAGAGAGCAACAGGAGTGCCAACACCACAACAACCAACAGAACAAGAAAGAAGAGAACATGAACTGACACACCTTCCCTACAGAAGCTGGTGTCCAACGTGCGTACAAAGCAAAGGAAGATAGGACAACCACCCAAAGCAAACAAGCAAAACGCCAGTGATCCAAGTGGATCTGATGTGCTACAAAGCCTTAGGAGAGAAGCAGACAACATCAGTCCTCACAGCAGTGGACGTTGAAACAGGCATGTGTATGGCAGTCCAACTTGAGGACAAGACACAACACGTACAATACCTGTCAGTCTGCCTTCAACAATTCCTGATGGAATGTGGCAGAACACATGCAATCCTCAACAACACCGTCCTTCAGTCAGATCGAGAAGATTTCATCATCTCCTTGCTCAAGATGGTGGCAACAGCCATGGGCAGCAACATAGCAGTCAGGCAAGCACCAGCCTACACATCACAAGCACAAGGAAGCGTTGAACGTTTCCACAGAACATTGATGGGCCAAGTCAGAGCTCTCAAACTCCAACTGGAGACCGACTATGGCATCAAGCTCAACAGCAAGCATCCCATCATGCCGTGGCTTGTCAAACACGCAGCATGCCTGCTCAACAGGTATTCCATCCACTCAGATGGAAACACAAGCTACTACAGACGATGGGGCAAAGAACACAAAACACCAATCTGTGAGTTTGGTGAAACAGTTCTTTACATGCTACCAACAGCAAAACATATGCCAAAGATGGAAGCAAGGTTCTATCCAGCCATCTGGTTGGGCAAGGACAACTCAACAAACGAGAACATACTTGGCATCAGCAACAAAGTGGTCAGAGCAAGGACCATAAGAAGACAAATAAAGCCAGACAAGTACAACAAGCAGTTGATGGATTCAGGCAGCTCACCAAAGCAAGCAAGAACAGCAGAGAGAGCCACAGCAGCAAGCAGACCTGAGACAGCTCAGGAGCAACCAACAACAAGGATGAGGATATCACAAGTCACAGTCACAACAACAAAGAAAGGACAGAAGATAGAAGCAACATCAAATGAGGATGAACAGGAGATCAAAGCAGAAAAGATTCTCCTGGAACCTTGGGTGAGCAACACCGAAGGTTTAGACAAAGAACAAGCAACGGAAGGAATGAAGCAAGAGATCAAGTCAATGAAGGAACAAGGAGTGCACACAGAAGTACACATAAGTCAACTCACGCAAGAGCAACGCAAGAAGATTATCAAGTCAAGATGGGTTCTTCGACAGAAAGGCAACACAGTTCGAGCACGAATTGTAGCAAAGGGCTACATAGAGGAGATTAACGACAACGACGACATCTTTGCATCAACGCCAATATTTTTTTTGTGCTGAGGATGCTACTTGTCCTTGGAACTTTGCAACAACTGGATTTGTCTCACAGGAGACATTTCAACAGCCTTTCTACATGCAGCAGCAGCAGCTACAGCAGATCTTTTCATGTATCCACCAGCAGAGTTCTACAACGCCTTCGACCAGATCGTCTGGCGGGTCAACAAAGCCATCTATGGCTTACGCAGCAGCCCAAAAGCATGGCAAAATCACCTGGCAGAGGTGATGCAACAACTTGGACTACGACGACTTGTCAGCGAGCCCAACGTCTACGCAACACCACAGGGAGATGCATACATACTATGCTACGTCGACGACTTGCTCTTCATTGGACAACAGGAGACGGTCAACAAGCTGTTCAAGAGCATCCAGCAACACCTCCTACTCCGCCCAACAGGAGAACTCACAGTCGGCAACACCATCAGCTTTTTGGGCAGAAACATCTGCAACAAAGGTGACTACTACAAGATCAGCTTAGCAGACAGCTACACAACGCAGATGCTGGAAGAAGCCAGCATGCTCAACTGCAACCCAGCACCAGCACCAGGCAACAACACTCTGAAAGCAACATCAGAGATGGAACAAGAACTCAACAAAGAAGAACACGCAGCCTACCGAAGAATGGTTGGCAAGCTACAATGGGTGACCTACACAAGGCCAGACATTGGCTTTGCAACAAAAGAGCTTGCAAAAGCACTGACACAGCCAACAACAGCAGACCAGCAGAAATTGAAGCACTTGCTCAGGTACATCAAGGGAACACAACACTACAAACAATACGTGCGACCTACAACCAAGACACCAACAGCTGAAGCAGTACCAGACATCCAAGTCTTTGTCGACAGCGACTGGGCAGGATGCGCAACAACGAGGAAGTCAACAACAGGATTTCTAATCAAAGTCTTCGGCGCAACAATCCACTACGGAAGCAGAACACAGGCAACAATTGCGCTGAGCAGCGCGGAAGCAGAACTCTATGCGATCAACACAGGAGCAACAGAAGCACTCCACATCAGCAATTTCCTGAAGGAAGCTCTCAACATGAAGAATACCGACTCATTAAGCGGAAAGAGCATGGCAACAAGAATCGGAGCATCAAAGAAAGCCAAACATATCGAGCTCAAACACCTTTTCATACAACAATTGGTCGCACACGACCTTGTGAGGATTGTCAAGATCAACACGATCAACAACCCGGCCGACATCTTCACCAAGTACGTTGCAACAGAGACGCTTTTGCGTCACATCAGTGATGTCGGCATCAGCACCCAGCATCACTGAACAAACAACAACAAGCAACAACAACAGTTTCACTGCAGCTAGCGTGTTAACGTGCGGACGCGTGTACAACGTGCGAACATCGTGCGTGGCATACACACACAAACATACATTTCTTTTTGAGCCATGGTGTTAACAAAGGTTGACAACATGTTCTATATCTACGTTATCTACTTCAACATGGAGTATATCAACATATTCATTTACTGGGAAGTTTCAACATGGTGGCCAACATGGAGATTCAACTCAGTGATTTTCTTTCTGGAACATGACTGTCTTAGACAACATGTCGGATTGCAGCATGAATTTGTTTTGTCGTTTTTTTGCAGGATCTCAACATTTTGTTGACAACAAGTGATTACGCCGCTTCGTGTGCAGCCGTTTTCCAACAGCTGGAAGATCCACAGTGAAGGATCACAACTGGAGTATCAACACGATGTCTCTGGTCAACATGGCAGATGTGAGGAGTCCAACACTCCCGATGAAGCTGCCGGTCACGTTGAAGGATTTGGGCCTCAACGCAGTTGAGATCCTCAACAGCGACGTGGCCAACCCTCAACACCTTCACCCAGATGATCTCCACGCAACAAGTGTGGACAACAACACTCCACGATGGTGGATTGTGATGACCATCGAGGAGTACAACTCCATCAAACCAACAGAGACGGCTGGGGAGTCAACCAACACGGTGATCCCAGCACTTTTGGGCAGCCAACGTATGCCCAACTTCGACAAGTTGATCTTAGCGCCTTCGCCACAACTGGCGCTCACAACAATGTACATGCACGCAACAGAGATGCATGTTACAACGAAGATTCCAACAAAGTGGCTCATGATTACCTGGGTTGAGGATGTTCAACAACATCGTCTTCGAACAGGCAACCAGGTGATCAACATGTTCAACAGGGGCGACATGTATCCACAGCAACAGATCGAGAGTGGATGCAACCTTCGTTTCGCAACGTTTGAGCTGGCATCCCAACAGATCTGGGAGATCAATGCAGATGGAGGCAACACCATGCTTCAACAGATCTGCAACTATTTCCAGTGGAACAAGGACTGGATGTGGACCTACAACATCCCGGTCCAAGTGTCCAACATGAACGTGGAATCAACACAACAGGAGAAGAGGCTCGTACTCCAATGCTTGGAGTATGGTGGAGCACAGATGCTCCATCATTTCACAACATCCACCAGGGATGCTGTGATGGAGATGCTGCAACAGATGCACAGCACCAGCATCACCAGCGGCATCAACACAGGCAACATCCTGTTCCAAGGAGCCAAAACAGTTGAGAGGATCAGAGGCAACAGCCACCTGGCAACATGGGTCGAGCAACAGTGGACAAAAGAGATGATCAACAACCATTTCAAAGAGATCAATGTGTGGCGCCTCAACAATTTGCCACTCACCATGCCCAAGGATGAGATCCAACAGTTGCTGCGTGAGAATTGCGCAACAACCGATGATGATCAACAGATGGAAGGATGAGAAGTCATCCAACAGGTGAGACTGGCACCTCAACCAACAGTCTTTGGATCTTCAGCAGATCCCTGCGCAACAAGAGGTTCAAACGTGAGAGCCGGGAATGCGCAAAATTAGATGAGTGTTTGATCAACATCTGCGGCTGGGCAACAGATGTAAAACTACAAGCCATCAGCCCTGTACAGAGATCAACACCCAATCCAATAGTATCAACATAATGTGATTGCGTTTCAACAATGTTTGTTTTGTGCAATGTGTTGGAAGCTCCAACAAATTGAGGGGCCGTGTTAAGTAACAACATTGTCCAACACACAATTCGTGTACAGTTCAACAGCTGCTGGATGTCACTGCCAACATTATGGATCAACAGGCCTTGAGCCTGAAGCTATCCTGACACTGTTTGCCAACAGTACAAAAGAGTGAGCGCCGTTGGTCCTGGGGCACGCCGGCAATTTCGCCATCGACGACGTCAAGGTGTTTCATCTCAAAGTGAAAATCAACTGCTGTGGAGTTTAGCTGATAACCACAGGTGACAAGCAGCAGGAAAAACATCAAATGCCTCAACAATCCGATATAGAGGAAACCTACTGGGATCATAATCTGACTTAACATCCCTATGGAGGGTCACCTACCTGACCAGTCTGCGGTCAGACAGGAGCGCCTCTCACCCATGTATGAAGGCAATGGAGTGGAGTACCAGTGGAGTAGTAGGAGCGGTAATTAGACAAGGGTAGTAGTTGTTGTTGTTAGCTGTGCACAGGTGTAGCGCTTGAGCAATATCAGCTGGGGCAGAGCGAGGTTTGAGCCCTGAGCACTCCATTACTCATTGCTACTGTTTATGCGTGTTTATTTCTTGATCAACTTTCTCATGATGATACGCTTATGTCTATGCACACTGGCATCCTGTCTGCCTGGGGATGAGTAGTCCTGTTGCTGTACTTCTAGCTGTTATCTTTCAAAGCACGAAAACTTCAGGCGACAGCAGCTCTCTTGTGGAGTCGCACCCAACAATATTGGGTGGATCTTGAATTAAGATTTGGATACGTGCATATGGCTGCAATGCCCGAGCAATGTCAGCTAATAGTGTGTCAGATCGAACCTGTCGAACAGCTGTACCCGTTCCTGTCGCTAGCTCAGCAGAGATACTCAGCCTCGGTGGGCGTACGAGTCCAATTAGCTCGAAAACTGTGTCCACCAAAGTTGAAATTGAAAGCGGGAGTACTGCCAGGTCAAGGTGTCCTGCTAGAGTGGCTGTTACCTGTACTGTAAGAACCACTACCCGGAAAGGTCGGGCATCAAGAGGCACTGGGAGTATCCCAGCCTTATCTGTGATCACACCTCGTCTTGATGGTAACAGATACAATCGGCTAATCCACAAGCCTCTAGAGGCCGGGCAATTAAAGGCTGCAAGGTATGCTGCTTCTTCTGGGGTCTCTGCTAATGCAGTCAGCAGTTGTGTGGTAACTAGCTGTCCATCTCGTTCAACCTGCAGCAGGTCTCTATCCAGGGTGTTGTACATCAAGTGCAGTCCGTGGGCTTCGTCAGGGAATAGAGTAGTGAGCCCACTCTGTACCAATTTGACAGTGCGCCGCAGATCTCGAATGGTGACCATTAGTTCCTGGGCAGTTTCCAAACCATACAGTACCATTTTGGTGGATGGCGGTACACATAGTCCTTGACCCGCAAAACGCGCAAAAGCCATGGGTCTTGACAGGGAGGGGTACTTGCCAGCTCAACCTTGAGGTAACAATAGAAATGCTGGAACCTTACCAGGTACTAGGGGAACACCGTATGCTGTTGATGGCCACAATGGGCGTAAGGGTAGTCTATCAAACTTTGAGCACTAGATGTCATACATAGCAACTCACGCGCCAAAGTGAGTAGTGTAGGCAAGATGAAACAGCAGGGGGTCCTAGGAGTCAGAAAATAACAATAAACGATGGGGGAGGATACAACCCCCTGGCCAGTCTGCGGCCAGACGGAAGATCCACTCTTATGGGGTGTTACCCAAGCCCACACCAGAATTGATAAGCTGAAGTCATGGGGTATCCTTTCTGATTTAATTGGGATATCTTGTCATGAAGGCGTGACGGAGGGAGGGCTCTGGGGTCACTGAACCTACTGAGCAAACACTCAATCAATTGTGGGGATATCAATTTTAAGGAACCCATCAGTAAGGCAAGATATTGCAGGGTTTGATGAATGGTCTACATGTAGACTGGTGCCATCTCAGCTACACCGTTGTTTGGGACCTGATGAGGATGAAGTAACTTTGCTTGAGCCAGTGTCAGTGCAACCGGGTCAGATGCGTGTGCTGCGTAGTGTGAGTACTGCATGCCCGTGGACGAGTGCTATTGATATCCATTCACTATTGCTTGCACTCCTTTTTATTCTTTCGAGCTCTTAATGGTGACCGTTGATACAAAGTGTGCCTCTCAGCCTGATAAGCTGCCCACTAATGAATCCGTCTTGCAAGTTCTGTTCACTAACTGGGCTCCTCGGCTTCCTGAGGAATAGCTTCTCTGTTGAAGAAAGCCGCATACGCCTCACTTAAAGTATGCCAGCTCTGTTGCACCCTATACAGGGCCTGGTTCGCCTCATGCACAAAGTCATTGTGTCGTTTCTGAAGGACGTGGATACCTTCACTCAATTGGTAGAGCCTTCCAATGTCTCCCATGTTATTGGGAAACCGTCCTGCAATTGCATCCTGACAGGCCTGTCTGACCACGGAAATTGAAACAGGGGCGGTCATCTTCATGAACGGCATTGTTGATTCTAGCATAATCCGCTAGGGCTATTCCCTCAGTGCGCGGTGCATACACCTCAATGCGATTTCCCAACAAGTTGTACAAGTGCATTGCTTCTGCAATGATGGCACACTGCTGCGGACTGCGTGCAACAATGGCAAACCTCCGCGAGTTAGCCCAGCATGCATATCCATAGTGGCGAGCTTCAGCTGCGAACGGGCAAAACCCACGCCCAGCAACTTCTAACCAGGTCTGCAGGTACTCATCATCGGTCTCGTGAATGAGCACTCTGTGGAAACCATGCGGGAGAGATAGACGTACTAGGACATCTGAGTCCTGTGGGAGCCATGTGTCTTCTTCTGCCCAGACAATATTCCATTTCTCCCTGTAGATCCAAACCCACGCCTCCATCAGGTTAAAGGGTGTGTGTCCTATATTGACGTTCCTGCAGTATCGGTGCATTGGAAAATTGCCTCGATGCAGGCACATCATTGTATTTGCCTGGTCGACTATAGTGTCAACCCTGTACCCTTTCCAGTGATAGTTCTCAAGGTAGGTCAGCAGGGGCGACGCCATGGCTCGTACGGGCACCCCAGTCTGCTCAAGTGGTAAGACGTAGGGTATTTAAGAAGCATAAGATCCATCGTTGACTTTTAGTGCAGCTAGATATACTGGCTCGTTGGGAACTTTGGGCCCCGTTACAGTGGTTCAACCAAGTGGTTAGTCCGCGTTTCATAAACTCTGAACAGGTGCAATCCCGACCAGTCTGCGGCCGGAAAGACACCGTGTCCAATGGTTAGCCACTCTAAATTGTGAACAGTAACAAATCCACAAGTAGATTTTTTTCCGTCCAACGCCTTCATGGCTTCCGCCAGGTCGTTTAACACGCTTTATGGCATTGCAAAAGCAGTAATTTCAAATTAACGCTCGAGGCCGTCTGCTATTGAGGGCCACAAAAGAGAACTGGTGAAGGACCTGTACATAGTCCAATAAGCCGTCATCATCAACCAACCAAAAAACAGAAGAAAGCAAACAAAGCAACCCACCAAAACAACACAAAAACCAACACACAAAGGAATGACTGGCTACCAGTTCATTGGCAGATTCATGCAAGAGGTGACAACATTGTGTCAGCTCATAATGGTATGGCCGCAAACGTAACAACAAACAAACAAAAAAGGGGGAGAACACCGACACACACAAGGCCATACCCGCAGGTGAGAGAAGCAACACAGCACCATGCGGAAACCAGGGAACAAATCCACAAGTAGAAATCGTAAACAGCAATGGAGTGGAGGTGTGAAGGGGAGGAGCTAAGGAGGTGTGGCAGCGTCGACCAAGACGGGACAGATTACTGACGGTTGGTTGTAAACTTCAGGCCCCATTACAGTGGTTCACCCAAGTGACTAATCAGTGTTTTACAAACTCTGAACAGGTGCAATCCCGACCAGTCTGCGGCCGGAAAGACACCGTGTCCAATAGTTAGCTACTTAATCTTGGGAAGAGCTCAAAATCCACTAATGAAAATGGAAAGTGATCGACGGTCCAGTCCAGAGACTAATGAAGGTGGTTAGGTGATAACATTGTATCAACTCAGGTATTGGTATGGCAGGAAACAAGACAAAAGAGAGCACACAAACACGAACATCACATTGCCACACCATCGAGTGGTGAAGCAACACAGCACTATGCGGAAACCAGGGATCCCTTTTTTGTGGCCGGCGCCCTGTGCCTTTCGGCGGGTGACCACTTTGAGACTTACTCGTCTACCACGTCACGATCGCGGCCCCGTACCCAGGGGGAATCGATCCGCGGCTAGCTGTCCATGCACGGTCTTGAGACGGGCATTATACCACTACGCGACGAGATCGCCTATGCGGAAACCAGGGATCCCCCCAGCCAGGATCCCCGAGATCACATAGAGCAAGCCATAAGGCATGACAACTCACAAGAAATAAAAAGAACACTTCGATGCCAGCAAAGACAACGCCGTGTAGCACCTGAAGTGGTGAGACACTGAAGAAAGCGGCAGTGAGAAGGATCCAGGGTGAGAAGTAATGACAGGCAATCTTTACAAAGGCGCTCAGGACATACTCAGAATCCGCTCAGTGGTGCTTTTCCAATCATCCTCATCTTGATGGCACAATAGTATTCTTCGAAAAAGTTGTCACCAGGTTGTAACAGGGTGTCTTCGTCTAAATGGCTTTTCCGGCATAAGCTGTGGTACACAGGGGGAATCATCCATGCAGGGACGAAAAA